AATTTTTCACTGGATTAGAGATAGTGGCAGCACAAGCTGACAAATAACTATCCTAAGAAAAAGCTGTTAATGAGCGCTTGCTCAAGTTCCTTAGCTGGTAACTCAGTGGTTTCAACCGAGATTTTCAATCAGGAACCTGAAGTTTAAAGATAATTTAATTGTCTTTAATTTATCAGTCGACCAATTTTTCACTGGATTAGAGATAGTGGCAGCAGAAGCTGACAAATAACTATCCTAAAAAAAAGCTGTTAATGAACGCTTGCTCAAGTTCCTTAGCTGATAACTCAGTGGTTTCAACCAAAATTTTCAATCAGGAACCTGAAGTTGAAAGATAATTTAATTGTCTTTAATTTATCGCTCGACGAATTTTTCACTGGATTAGAGATAGTGGCAGCAGAAGCTGACGAATAGCTGCACTAAGGAAAACGTGCTTATGAGCGCTGACTCAAGTTCCTCAGCTGATAACTCAGCTATTTCAACAGGGATTTTTAATCAGGAACCTGCGTATTAAAGATACTTGATTTATCTTTGATCGAACTCCCCGCCGGTTTTTTGAGGCACTGCAAATACTGGCGCTACACTCAAAACTAGTCAAACTCCCAAAACAAGCAATTTCTCCCAACAAACCCCCCATGCGGCCTCCCCATCCCCTTCGGGCTGCACGAATTAATTAAGTTCCATATGTGGACTCCAAAGAACATCCCCCGACTGATCATTTAATGTAGACATTCATATTAGGGTAACAACAATCGTCGCTGACTGATAATTCAGCTCCAGTTGAAGTTCGGTCATCAGTCACACGAAAATGCGAATTAACAGCAAACCAAAACCCGGCAAATATCAATTAATCAGTCAAGGCGACGTTGCCGCATCTCTCGGCTGAAAACCGGCAGCCGTCCGCCCATTGATTCAATTCAAATGACACAAATAACGTTGACTGATGAGATTCACCAGCGGTGCGGTTTGTGCTTGGCAGCACATTCTGGAGTTATTTGGCAGTTTTCGAAAAAACGCCTCAAACACTTATTGAAGGCACAGGCTTTGCCTTCCAGACCCTTTTGAGGAATCTGAAATCGGCCCACCCGTTGCAGAGCCATGGGCAGAGGAGTTTGAGTGGACTTGCTAAGGCACTTTTGCCTAAGCAGTGGGTTTCTTTGGCTTCTAGCTCCCTTATTTGAGCCACCAGGTAAAAATCGCCCGCACCAAAAAGGAAGCTAGGCAAACAATCTTTAAAATGAGCATAAAAAGTCGAAAATCCGCCCACTAGTTCCGGAGCTATGGGCCAAAGAGGTTGAGCTCACCTCCAAATGCCTCCCCAACTGTTGCCATAAAAAAGAGTTTCTAAAGTCCACAGCTTCGGGACGTTTTTCCGCAAAATTCGCCCAAACTGCAACTAAATAAAGCACCGGCTGGTCCAAGGAAGCACAGCAAGCAATTTGGGCCAAAAATTGCAGTTTTAACACTTCAGACCGATGAGGGAGGCGAATTTTCCAATCACCCTGAAAATTAAATTTTGCCCCACTTGACCCTGATGGGGTTTTTTCGAAACGCCTTTTCTCCAAACAGACGCAAACCAACCACACACCACAAATTCCTAACCTCTAAAGAGATCGAAGCCAAAAATGGGCAACTTCTTTGCTTTTTATGTGTTATCGGAGGTCGATCGGCTGCACTGTCCTCATTTCAACTCCAGTGGAAAATCCTTCTAAACTTAACTTAAAGCCAATGAACTTCTCTTGAAAACTGGTTTTTTGCGTTGGCAATTGGATGAAAGGCGACTGAGTTATCAGCAAATGAGTTTGGGAACACAAGCAAGTTTCACCTTTTTTGTAGCACCGACGTTTCTGCCCTCCTGCTGTGATTGGTTCAATCCCAATCAATTTTTTTTGCAAACGTCAAATAAAGACAGTGAACTTGTCTTCACAACGATGGTTTTGCGTTGCCAATAGCGCAAGCCGCACACGAGTTACAGGTGAAAGAGTCGTTGAAAACATTGGGTTGCAGGCACTAACCTTTCTCGGCTTCTACTGGCTCTGGCTCAACTCTAATTCAAAATTTCTTTTACAGCAAATCACAGACAGTAAACTGCGGGTTAAAACCCAATTTTCAGGTTGCCCATCATGTGCTGTCTGACTGAGTTAGGAGTTATTCAGAGTGTCGACACATTAGGTTTCACTTTTTGCTTAGCGCTGATGATCCTGCGCTCTTGCAGTCTCTATTTCAAATGCCAGAAACTTTTGGTGAAATCTCGAATTAAATACAGTTAAATTATCTCTCGCCACACGGTTTGTTTTTACCAATCAGGTTAGGTTCAATGGAGTTACCAGCTTTAGAAGGAGTTTGTGCACAGAGTGCGTAAAGCTTTTTTTCAGTTCCGGTATTTCGAGGCTCCTGCCGTCTCTATTTGGAATCTACTGGAAAATTGCTTCCAACATAAATTAAAGACATACAAATTTACTTTAAGAGACACGTTTTGTGTTAAAAATCTGTTTAGAGATAACTGATCTACGAGGTAAAGAGTGTGCAAATTTGTTGAGTTAAATTTGTTGCTGAGTATTAATGTTTCAGGGCTTCTACTGTCGTGAGTTCAAGTCCAACAGAAAACTTGTTGAACCATAAATTAAAGACAGTGAAATGGTGTTTGAAACACCGGGCTTGAGTTTCAAGTTGGTGGAGGGCCAACCGAGTTACGAGTTAAAGAGTTGGTGAGTTTAGTAGGTTACAGTTTTTCTTGGTACTGATGTTGGGGCGCTCTTGGAGTTTTTATTTCAAGCGCAACGAAAACTTTGTTCAATCATTAATTAAAGACACTGAAATTGTCTTTAACGTGGACTGCTTTGGTTTTCCATCAGGCTGGGAACAACTGAGTTATGAGCTGAGGAGCTTGTGAACAGATTAAGTTTAAGTTCTTCTGGAGCATCGATGTTGCAACGCTCCTGCTGGCTTTTCTGCAAGGCGTGCGAAAAATTCATGCCCACATAAATTAGACAGTAAGACTCTCTTTACTAGACAGCAGCCCAGTTTCTACTCGCTCAACTGGCGACTGAGTTACGAGCAAAAGAGTTGTTAAACACAGAAAGTAAAAAACAATTTTTTGTACTGATGTTTCAAGTCTCTAGCTTTCGATATTTAAAACCCCAAAAAAAAATTCTTAAGCACGTGGATTGAAGCCAAGAAAATTATCTTTAAACCCCACTGTCCAAGTTGAAAATCGGGTTTGTTGCTCCTGAGTTTCCAGCTTAGGAGTGCGCCAACAGCTGAACTTCAACTTTTTTCTCGCGTAGTGCCATTCTTTGGCGTCTGCTGTCTCTATTTGAAATCCAATCAATTTGCTGCCCAAACAAGAATCCAAGAGGGTCAACAGATCTTTACAATGCACTTTTTTAATTATTAATAAGTTGCGCGGTGACTGAGTTACGGAGGAAGAAGCATGTGAACACGTCAAGTTATGTTTCTCTCTAAGCCCTCAAATTCCCCCCGCTGGTGCTGTCCCTATTTAAACTCCACTAAAAACTTTGTTGGGACATAAAATAAAGACAGTCAACTGGTCTTTACCATGCATACCCGAAGTGGCCTCTGAGTGCAAAATCTAGTGAGTTACCAGCGGAAGAGCTGGTGAACACTTTCAGGTGCAGTTTCTGCTGAGTGTCGCTGTCCATTAGGCTCTAGCAGTCTCTATTTGAAACTTGCCCAACATTTTCTTTCACAGCAAATCGAAGACAATTCCATAAGCTTCGACATGCGCCTATTGAGTCGCCAATGGGTTGACGCTCAACTGAGCTGCGAGCCAAAGAGTTGGTTAACACTTGAAGTTAAAGATTTTGCTCAGTTCTGCAGTTCCTGCGGCTCTGCTGTCTTTAGCTCGCGGCCACTGAAAAAATCCGCAGGAGCTCATTTAAAGCTGGTTCATTTGTCTTGCACCTGCGGGTTTGATGGTGCAAATCCGTCCACTAATAGGGGAGAAATGAGCAAAAAACCATTGATTCCACTTAGAGGTTGCCAAGGCATCCCGGCTTCATTAAGACTCCCACCTCACAGTGGACAGAGTAATACGGGACAGTTTTCCAATTGGAAACTCCATTCCGATGAAAACTCCCTCGTATTCTGCCAGCTAATTTCTCCATTCCTGTTGCGAGCGGTGTGTGTGTCCAGTTCATGGAAAAACTGCCGCTCTTCCATTATTTATATCCACCTTAAGCAGCTGAGAGTTATGAAGACAAATGGTGGGCGCAGACAAGTTTCATTTATAAAAATGGCAGCTTTTCCCTGGTTTACTCCTTTGGAAAACCGGGCAATCATTCAGTTTGCCGTAAATGGTCCATGTGAGTTATGTTAAATATTTATCTTCCACTTAAGCACGATCAATTAGATGGACGATCGTTTGCGCGCCCTAAATGGATGTTTTGGAGGAAGCGAAAAAAATTGCGCCACTAATGGGGGCTTTCCACTACTGTCCAACCTAGCAAAAACGCGATTTTTCTTCAAACTGGGGATTTTCGGAAATATGGCAACAGCGTCAACGCATAAACCATCTTCACAACTGACGCAGCATTGGGCTGGGAACAGTGGGGGCAAAATTTGTGAATTTTCCTGTAAACCCTGAACATTTTCCGGTGGTGGCAACGTTGCCTGAAGGGGCGGGGGACAATAAATGGCCTCAAATTTTGCTCTAAAAACGCATTTTTTTGCCGAGCTAAGGCGAGGAGCTTGGCAAAAGCACAGGTATACATTTTTCCTGATGCTTCTCAACTCTTGGCAACACTGCATGCAAAAATTCCCCCTGAGTTTACTGTCTGTATTCGTGCAGTTTCCACCTTTTCTGACATGTGGATGTTGGAATTTAAGCAGTTGGGCTTTTTCAGTAGACTTTGGAAAATTGCGGAACAACGGCAACACCGCAAAAATCCCCGATTTTCACCAATTTTTAATTGCCTTCTGTGTTAATCAGGAGAAGGGAACTAGTTCAAGCTTTGCGGGAAGGAAAGCGTAAATTTTCGAAATATGTCAACGGTGCAAACCGGATTTAATTGGGTTTCGGCAACAGCGCTTGCGAGTTAAGTTGGCAAATCCCCTCTCATATCATTGGCAGTAGGCCAAACTGGTGTTACCACGTTGGGAATAGTCGCTTTTGCCTTCAGGACATCATTGGGCCGTTCACAGGACGTGTGTTTTTTGCCGAAAAAAGCCTGAGTTTGGCAACGTGGAATCAACCAGAAAATGCCCGTTTACTGCGTTCTAATCACGCGAGTTAYTTGTTTGCGACCACTATGTTCTTTTAGCGTGGTTTTAACGTRTTTTTTACCTTATTTAATCAGGTGTTGGCAACRGCGTATGCRATTTTAAGTGAAAACTGGTATGGTGGAATAAYCCCATTGGAGAAAAGTGAGGTTGTGCGTGCAAAAACAGCCGTTTTGGCCTCTGATTCATCAACGGCACGTTYCCAGGACGTTAGTTTTTGATGCAAGAMCACTCAATGTGGCAACGAAAAATTTACGSACAAAAAAGGGGCAACTGGAGTGGAATCAGACAAATTATTTGCCTCGAAGGACTACGTACTTTTGACGTTGTCTTAACGTACTTTYACCTTATTTARTCGSGTTTAGGCAACGGCCTAGGCAATGTTTACTAAGGTTAAAAGTGAGCTTGTATGTGGAAAAATAGCCGTTTTAGGCATTAGAACATCAACGGGACGTTCCCAGGACGTTAGCTTTTACTGCATAAACACTCAGTGTGGCAACAAAACAAGTTTTACTGAAAAATGGTATGGCGGAAGAATTSCATTGTTRAAAAKTCAGGTTRTCCGTGCAAAAACTYCCGTTTTGGGCKTTGGTACATCAACGGGACGTTCCCAGGACGTTAGTTTTTGTRGAAAAACCACTCAGCTTGCCAACGACACAAATTTATCGGCTAAAAAGCAGAKAAATCGTGTAAAATGTCGCGCAGAATATTCGCTTCCGAATACAATGCTATTTTAACGTTGATTTAACGTACTTTTTAAGTCTACAGCAACGGTTTGAGTGTTTTTTCGTCTTATTTGGGCTCCAGCGGGAGAGTTCCAATTTTGACTGAAATTGAAGCGTAAAGTTGGCGGAAAAAAGTTACCTTGAGCGTCGGTACATTAACGGAACGTCCGCAGGACGTTTTTTGTTCTGGCAAAACCAGTGGATTTGGCAACGCGCATTTGGACCCAGTGGCCGTCACCAGGAATGAAATACCGCTGTTTTTTCCTTTAAAAAATCACGTTATTTTAAGGTATTTTTTACGTCACCGAGCTCTGGAGCTCGGACTTCAGTTGGTTGAGACAAAAATATTTATTTGGGAATTTTGGCAACAGCGCTAACCGGATTTAGATGGGTTTTGGCAGCAGTGCTAGCAATTTTTATTGAGTAGCGGTCTACGGTCTTAATGCCAGTGGAGCAACAGACGCCGACAATGCAAAAACAGTCTATTGAGGTGTGGGGACGTCACTGGGACGTCCACAGCACGTCCAGGTTGGCGTAAAAATACGGAGTTTGGCAACGTGGCATCATAGACCCAATGCCGTCACCTGGAAGAAAATTGCGCTACATTTTTTATTAAAAAAATCACGTCTCTATAACGTTCCTTTAAGATATTTTTCACGTAAGCGAGCTCTGGAGCTCGGACTTCGACATTTGTACTCAGGGTTTTAGTTGGTTAAGACAAAAATGTTAATTCGGGAAGTTCGGCAACAGCGCATGCCGGATTTGGTAGGGTTTTGGCAACAGCGCATCAAATTTTTATTGTAAATTCGCCTGCTGTCTGAATGACAGTGGAGCAAATGGCGCGGCAAATGCATAAATAGTCGTTCAGTGCTTTTGCACGTCATTAGGACGTTGACAGGCGTTCCAGGTTGGCGCAAAAAGGCGGGGTTTGGCAACGTGGCATTATGGACCCAGTGGCCGGCACCAGTAAGAAAATTGTGCTAGATTTTTGCTTTAAAAAATCTCGTCCTTTTAACATTCTTTTAAGGTGTTTTTCACGTAAACGAGCTCCGGAGCTCGGACTTCGACATTTGTCCGCAGGGTTTCAGTTGGTTGAGATAGAAATGTTAATTTATGATATTTGGCAACAGCGCAAACCGGGTTTGCTTGGATTTTGGCAACAGCGCATCAGATTTTTATTGTAAATTCGCCTGCTCTCATAATGACAGTTGAGCAAAGGGCGCGGCAAATGGATAAACAGTCGCTCAGGGCTTCGATGCGTGATTTGGACGTTCACGGGACGTCCCCAGTTGGTGTAAAAACACTGGGTTTGGCAACGTGGCTTTCAAACGCCAAGTGATTGGTAACTGGATCCCAATCACGCAATGGTTTTTAACGTAGTTTTAAGGTACTTTTAACGTCCCGGGCCTAGTTTTGAGGCTATTTGCGGCCCGTTTGAACGGCTATCCAGTGGGAGATCCACGTGGCACTCAAACGGTAACAGAAATCGATGCTTAGGGAAAAACGGAAACCGTGCAAATTGCGTCAAACGCATTCTTTCGCACCGTTGCCGTTCGGCCGGTTTATCTGGAAAGTTCCGAATCAGTTGATCCGTTACCCCACCAGTCGCTTTGTCGAGATAAATGTGTCGTCGCAGCTTTTGTTTGAAGATCGGCATTGGCTGACAAAGAGACCGGCTTTGTTCGCTTGTAATTGGTCCGCCCGTTCCCCCACCCCCCAAAAAACAGGCCGACTTGATTAGG